AATGGCAGGTAACAAAGTATCCCAAGACTGCAGATGTTTCAAATGATATTCTGGCAAGCATTGTTTTTATGGATTTTATTTAAATTTTCAACCAAGCCATTAGCTTGTGCGTGATATGGTGTTGTGAATTTTGTTTAATTTCTAACCAGTTATTAAAAGCTTTAGTAGCCAAGGATGTAAATTGGAGCCTTATCAGAATTAATACTTCTGGAACACCACCCTTGAAAAAAATCTGTTGAACAATGCCTCCTGAATATCATTTACTGTTATAAATATCAGAGGTACACACTCAGGCCAATTTTGTGGCAACATCAAATAAAAGTTTAAAATAAACCTGTTTCCCTTTTGTTGAAGTCACTGGGGTAATGGCCAACAATATCATTTGCAACTTGTTCAATATGGTCTTGATGCTAAATATCAGAAACCTATTTTTGCACTGGAGCCTTTGGGTTCTCTCCTTTTTTTGTGGTTTTTAGCACAGGTATCCAAGATCGAACATAATTTTTTACGTCTTTAGACAGCCCAGGCCATAAATGTAGATAGAATCCTCTTCTTGTTTTGTTATTCCCCATATGCCCAGAGAAGTGGCATCATGTGCTAAGATAGAGCTTTTTGGTCTTGAATTTTGTGGTTTACTACTGGGTCTGTATGAACCAAATCAAAACATTTCTTTAGTGATGGACCAGATACTTGGGCATCTTGAAATTCTCTTTGGCTGTTACTGCTTTCTTTTGTAATGGGTACCAGTTCTGTCGTTAAGTTCTCTTCTTTTAGCTTTTGTTGTATGGTATCAGTCATGCTTCTGGTTACTGCAGCAGCTAGTTGGGGTGCACTTGGGTCAGACAATTGTATGAAATCAGTACTATATGATTGGAAATTATCATCTTCACATAATTTAACACTGGATGAAACTTTTAGGTTTCACGGGTTATTTATTTTCTCACTATTCATCATTTCTCTTTCATTCAGTACGATTAGTGTCTCTTTGACACCTAATAACTTTTTCTCGTCTTTTGCATTCTTTACTTCTTTCATACCTTTATCCTTGCATACTGTGGTCTTATTCTTTTCATGTTCACTTCTTTTCATACTGATATTCTCCTTAAATTTTCCATGACCAATCAACTGTTGCCTGTTTAGGACGCAATCACTTTCATTTATTTGTACTACTGCATTCACACTATGGCAAAAATCTTGATCACTGGTATTCAGTTTCTCTCTTTCTTTCAATTCCTTGATTTTTTCTCTTTCCCACTGAAAAATTTCCTGTTCAGACATTTCTTTCAGACCTTTTTCATTCCCCAAAATTAAACCTGCACATGGTGCTGATAAAACGGCTACTCTCAACTTGCCTTGAAAAAACGGTGTTTTAACATTAACAAATGATAGTTTATATTTCTCAATGGTGCCTCCAAATGTTCTGCAATTCACGTGTTTGTTAGTAATATCTTCAGGTTTGATAAGATCTTTGTGAATACCTGAAATTGTGGCGCCCGTGTCTCTCAAAATTGTGGTTATTTTCCCAAATTCAATACCTCTGTATCTTATGTTGATCTAGTCTGTCCTGAGGCTGCTTCTGCGATGACTTGCTTTCTTGACCGTTGTTTAATGAAGCTTGTTAGTTGACCTGTCTCTTATTTTTTTTTAGAGTATGCAAGAAATTATGTTAATTTAGTAGAAATATTTATGACTACACAACCTGTACACCAATTGACCTTAGATGTATACTGATTGTTAATATATTCACTGTACCACTACTAGATGCAGAAACCGGATACTAGATGCACAAACCGGACTTCAATCACTGTATGTCACCTTTTATTTTCCGCTGTGTAGTATCACTACAACTATAGCACACTATGTGGAGTTCATATCTAACTGCACAATTAAATAGTTCACTGGTACCTAGACACTTGAAAAATTCCCTGCTACCTACACACTTGCAAGATTCACTGTTAAGTAGACAATTGAATTTGTGCGGATTATTCAGATGGTTTTCCTGTTAACTGAATGCGTTTAGGTGGTAAGAAAGCTTTATTATTATCACTTTCTTGTGATTTTGACGATTATTATACGATGAACTTGAAGCATTATTGATAACCAGACATCAATGAGTGCTGATCTTGAGGTATTGTAGGCTTCTCGTACTGTAGTTTTCCTATTTAATGGTTTGCCACGGCTGAAAGTGTAGAGCTGCGACACACACACCCAGTGTCAGAGCTGCGGTTATTTGATTTCCGTTTACAGTCAACACTCTACCCGGTGTTTTACTGTCTTTCTATGTTTTGAAAAACAGATCCGAAAAACAGGATCTGATGTCGACGCTTCTCTGTGTTGTTCAGTGTACATTTCCCACTACACTTTACCACACTTTAGTCGGCAGCACATTTTTATCAAACAACACGGCTTCGGAAGTTTTGCAGAGGGGCAGCCCTAGTCTCACATCATCTCTGTGTAGACTTACTGTTGCATTCCTTTGCTACCATTGATGATTGCTCCTTGACACTGTCACTGTCTGCAATCTTTCCTTTGCATCTTTGTTGATTGTGATTAATTGGTCGAAACTTAAAACGTGGACTTGTCTATCAGTATTCAAAGTCTGGAATTTGTTTGAACGTTGTTCAATCTGTGAACCATCGAATATGGGTTGTTGTTATGTCGCCATCGATCTTCCCCGCTTACGTTCTTATGTTGAACTGGTACTACCCGACGTCAGGTTGATAACCAAACTCATTTCCAATGTCTCAGATGTACGAAACAACTTTCATATCCTCAAATGTTTGGACGAGCTCCCATTCTGCGATGTTTCTCTTCTATCTTTATCTGGCTCGCATCATCGCAACGCTCACGTACCGACATCACATGACGAGCAGAAAATGGAAGATTGGAACAACAACACGATACTGTTCAGTACTTTAATTTCCTGCTCGCGGCTTACTCAGCCGGCACATGAAAACAGACTATTGTCCAGGCACACATGATCATTGGAATAATAAATGCTAGACTTTCATTACCTTCTGTCAGAAATCACAATCTTCCTACACTACGAAACACACAGCTGTTATAACAGATTTTACTGTACGAAACAACTCTCCTATCCTCAAATGTTTGGACGAGTGCCCATTCTGCGTTGATCTTCTTTATTATTTATTGCTGGCTCGAATGAGTCACCGCATCCTTCCATTCACCGACTGACAAGAACGAGAAAACATGGACGCTGGCAGACGTTCAGAAGTTACACGTACCGTTTATTTTCACTCGCTGATGTTGCAGTCAGTAAATGTTCATACACAACAGTATCACTCATCGATTACTTATTCAATGATCTAAACAGTCAGTCATACATTTGTAACATCGTAGAATTCATCCCACAACTTAGCGAAACACAGTAATTCCATCCAACCAGACGACAGTCATTCACAGCTGGCCACCGTTTCCGTCAGCCACTATTTCATGCCAGGTAGGCATTGGGAAATCACGCTATGCAGACGCCAACATTCTTCCGGACTTCATCATCTCACGTACACATTCCCTTGGCCTAAACGAGACTGCCTCTCAATCCTTTCTCCGTTATTATATAGCCCTCTGATCTCTGTCATGTTCGTCTCGAATATTCTGTATAACTTCATTCTCACGAATTCCCCACCGTTGAAAATCGTGTCTGGCCCGTGATAATTCGCATTTCACACGAAGCCTGCCAGTCAACCTTCATGGTTCACGTGAACAATCATGTTTCACATAAAACCTGACTTTCAGATGTCTCCCATGAAACTCAAGACACAAATCTCGTGTTATCCCAGTCAGTCAAAACATTCCCCTTACATTTATTACTGACGTCATCTGTCGGGCATAAATTAATTGGGAGAAAATGACTCACTACAGGGACCTTTCGTGTTGTCACTGTAATAGTAATAAATAAAAGTAGTAGCAGCAGCAGCAGCACCATTTACAAAAACATAAGCAGTAGTATTAGTAGTAGTAGTAGTAGTAGTAGTAGTAGTAGTAGTAGTAGTAGTAGTAGTAGTAGTAGTAGTAGTAGTAGTAGTAGTAGTAGTAGTAGTAGTAGTAGTAGTAGTAGTAGTAGTAGTAGTAGTAGTAGTAGTAGTAGTAGTAGTTGTAGAAGAAGTAGTAGTAGAAAATTAATAAGTAGGGGTGACAATTGCAACAAAATAAGCTGTTTGCATAGAAAATGTGTATGAGTGATTGTGCGTGCGCGCGCGCGTGCGTGTGTGTGTGTGTGTGTGTGTGTAAAAACAGCACTAGGGAGCGGGAGGGGGTGGTGATGTGCAACTTTGCACCCGGAGTACCAACTTCTTCTTCTTCTTCGCGTTCACCAGCTGTAAACTCTGGCGGAAGGTTCTGGTTGCTCGTCCACTACTGAACTGCAGTCCTGCTCCAGAAGCTGAGTGTTGCGTGTGCATCAGTTTTACAGATCTCATTCTCTTGAATACAGACTGTTGGTTCCTTGCCTCTCCGGCAGATGCACTCCGACTTCAAAGGAAGCTCCCCAATTAGTCGATTCTTACGACATGCTTTTGGGGAGGCAGTGGGTCTATTCTTGTTTTCCCCACAATGGGGCCCCGGAAACCACACGGGGGAGGAGTACCAACTGATCTGCTAATGCTATTGTTGCCCAAAAGGATGCATACACAAGTTTGGAGTTTGCCCCCAGGAAGAGTGCGAGGAATGAGTGATTCATGCGTATCTCAGCAGATTTATACGGAAAACGTTAGAAAAGGAAATGTGGTAATAAAGCTAAACAACCTGAAAGCGCATGCGTTTAAGACAGAAACTTCACATGGTTTAAAATAAGAAAACAAATCTACTTAAGAGAAAAGATATGCGTTGTTTCAAATGCAATCACATATTTAAATAATTGAAATAGATACCGTTTTATTCTCAATTAAAGAGGATAATTTATTTTTCATTTCAACTTTCTCAAATATATTGTTTTTCTTGAAGCAATTAATTATATTAACTGCGATACACCCCTGTTTCAGGGAACTCCATATTTCATGGTACAAGTCACGAGATGGACAAGTCAATAGAGGTGAAAATATGGGCGTGACTGCAGTCAAGCTAATACAAGGAATTCCAGGGAAATTTGACTAAAAAGTTTAACAAAAGAGAGAAGCAGAAAAACGTGCACAAAACACCAAAAAAATACCGTAACGTTTTTGGTCAAATTTCCCTGTAATTTTAGCCAATAGAGATAGTGTATTCCTCTTAAATTCTATGCAGTGTTGCGTTAGTAGTCATGCCTATATCGACAACTTTCTGTCTGGTGTACTTTCAATCAACTCTAACACAGATGATCCACCATGCCATGATGTCAAACTGTCCAACATCTTTTCTTTCGTTTTCCTTCTGCCCCCCCCCCCCTTTCCCACTTTCCCACTGTCAGGATGTACTCTAGTTTTTCTTTCTCATTACATGACGAAGGAATGTAGATCGTCTCTTTCTGGCGTGTGCACTCAGTTCTCTTTATGAGTTAGTTGCTTTCAAGACATCTTCATTACTCTTTGTATTTGTCCAGAGTATTCTCATTATTTGTCTGATGTATATTAATAAAACTTTTTGCTTGAGACTCTTATTGCTTGAAACAAATTATTTATATTTATATTTTGATGGACTTTAGAGCGATCTGCCATTTGCGTGTGGTCTCGAGGCATGGCGTCCGCCTTGAGTACTGGAGGTCCTGGGTTCAAGCCCCGGTGAAGGCTGGGATTTTTTCACGTGTACTTCTAGTATTTCCCCCTGGTCTCTGGGTAGTGAGATCGGACGTCCGTGTGTATTGTTGCACACGTAAAAAAAAATCCCTTGGCAGTTGCAAATCGAAAAAGAGTAGCCTAACGGCGCTGCCCTGGGCAAAATTTAGAGTTGAAAATTTACCTTAAGTATTTTAGGATCCTCGACGGTGCTACGGAGTTTCAGCTTGAGTCAGAAGTAAAACGTAGCACTTAGGAGATACTACCCTTGTGTCATGATGTTGATCTGTCGTCTAAACTAAAACCTAAATCTACTGGAGCAGGATTAGCACCCCTGCTCTCCCATTCGCCAGTAGTTATTACACAAACTCCGTCTACTCCGAGGAGCTGAACTTGAGAGCAGCAACAACAAACACTGATTATGTCTAAAGGAGTTGAACCACCACTCTAGCACATAACTGGATAATATAGTAATTCGGATACAAAGAGTAAATAGAATCCGTTTAAGATATAAGACATTGCGCGTGTATGTTCCAGGGCTACATTATGGAGAAAACAATAATATACCCACTTCCTACGCAAAAGCATGTCGTCGTAAGAGTCGACTAATAGTAAGCTTCATTTGAAGTCGAGTACATTTGCCTAAGAGGCAACTAACCACCAGTCTGCATGCAAATGAGTTAGACCTGTAAAATGGATTTGCGCGCAACACTCAGGATCTGGAAGGTAAGTCGAGAACGACTAGAACTCTCCACCGGAGTTCAAAACTGGTGAACGTGAAGACGAAAAAGAAATAAGGCACACAGAACAACAACATGTTATTATTATTAGTGTTATTATTATTATTATTATTATTATTATTTTGAAATGATCAAGAAACGTTAGGGACAGAAAGGATATCACAGTCTAGGTTTAAACCACAACTTGACGTACTATCGCTCTTTTAAGAGAAACACAGAAGAAGAAGAAGAAGAAGAAGAAGAAGAAGAAGAAGAAGAAAAGAAGAAAAAGAAAAAGAACAATAACAATAAAGAAGAAGAAGACGAAAGGGGATAAGGAAGAAGAGAAAGAGACGAATAATAATAATAATCTGTATGTGCCGGTGGGCTTCTGTCATAGATGTCTCATTGTGTCCACAGAAGAGGAGAGTGTCTATCACCGCCTCACCGTGCTGCGAATACCTCTGGACGTATAGGCAGCTCAATGAGTCTCGAGACCTGAACAACAACTTGGTGCGCATTGCACAGAACGTACATCCACAATCGTTTCAAATGGTTTATTGTCTCGACAAAGGAAATGCGAGTAGATGTCGGGCCATGGATCACACTAGGTTTGGGTTATATTTTAATGCGCCTATTCTTTTCTTCATCTGTTGATGTTGCTGTTTGCCACGACTCCTAAAGGTGCTAAAACTGCCAATTACTGCCACTATTTACCACTTCTCGCGGTGTAGGTGTCTTTGAGCCCGAGGATGTAGGTGTGCATGGCTAGTGCCTTCGCCAAGGACTGTGCAGGTGTGGATTTTATTTTTGGGCCAGACAGGAAAAAAAATCTCCAAACATACCAAGGATTTGAACCTGAGTCTACCGCATAAGAAACCAGCGTTCGTTACCGTTCAGCCAGCCGCTTCTCGCCCTTTGAAGGTAAATATGGAAATTGATGATGCTAAATATGTTGATAAAAAGGATAATGATGTCGATGACGATGACAACTACGACGATGAAGATGTCGACTACGGCAAAGACGACTCCCAAAGTGATCTTTTATTGCTGTCAAACATCGTCGGGTTTTCATCTTTGTAAGACGTAAGTTAAACGGTAGGAGAGCTGGACGGATATGAGTTGAATTAAGAATTGACATCATAGCACTGGAGACTTTCGTATCGGCACTTAAGCCCATCTTTAGCAGCCAGCACAGTGCTAAAGCTCAGATGAATAACGGGAGGGGAAACGTCTGAGGCGGTGCGAAATATCACGGCCAGATCCATTATTTTCTCTCTCTCTCTCTCTCTCTCTCTATATATATATATATATATATATATATATATATATATATATATATATATATATATATATATATATATATATATTTAGAGCTTGCCTGATAGATATGGCTAAAGGAAGACACCTTGGGGGGGTGGGGGGGGGGGTCCTAGCTGGTCATGTTCTTAGTACCCTTGTTTCCATAGCGAGATGCATACGCCATTTGGAGGTGACAGGTTCGATTCACAATAACTACAGCTTTAGAATTTTATGTAGTCCGTTTATCTTTATAACCCTTTGAAAATAAAGTTAATTCGTTCGTTCTTTCTACTTATTTATGTGATTGCCAATTAATATAGTGTCTGTTTTTTTACACACACACACACACACACACACACACACACACACACACACACACACACACACACACACACACACATACACACATACACACACACAGCTGAGATGATGCCAGCAGAAGTTTGACTGTATGTCCATCTTGCTTTTTCCCCCTGGATGTTGAGTGTCGGTCTGAACTCGTGGTTACTCCCCACTGCTGCGGTTAAACGTAGACACTCGTTTGTGAACATGTTATGAGGAGGAAAAGAAAAAAAATTAAACGTAGCAGCAACTGGTAAACCAGGTAGAAAAAAAAGAAAGCGGAAGACAACGAGATTAGTGCATGAATGATTTAGGCACATGGCACGGACGAGCCCACAAAACAGACTTGGTCTTAAATTGGTGATCATATGCAATGGCGAACTATGACTGCTGCACAATCACACATTCGCAGTCCGACAGCCCAGTCGCACACAGCTCTCGCTCGCTCTACGCGCCCGATAAAGCCACGTGTGTCTCTCGTTAGCTTGCTAACTACCCATTCGTAGCCTGATTATCGATAGCTAGATACTGGTCAGACTCGCTTGATATTCGGCTGAGTTTGGCTCGACTACGCTATCGGTATTCGTCTGCGTTTGGGTCATTAGCGGCCCGGGAGCACATCATTTGTTGAAGAGCCAGCCTTACCAGCCATTTGTTAAAGGATTGCTCGTGAACTGTGGAGAAAAGCACGCTCGGTGTACTTTTCAGTTCACTCAACGAGCCTTGCCAGACTCTGCAGGGATCGAGCATTCGATAGCCGCCTGATCAGCACCAATCTCAGCCTAGTCAACCATGGCCTGGGGCAAATCCAGCCAGAAAAAAGCCGTGCCAGCGCCGAGAAACCAGATCGATGCCGGCTAACCAGGAGGAAGCACCTGTCAACGCACCAGCCCTTACGGTGCAGACGACGCCAGAAACTGCCGACGCTCCTGTAGAGACAACAGCCTCGCCCACCCGGACGATACCAACCATAGATGAAGCACCTGTCGAGGCACCGACACCAGACCAGACACCACCAGTCATGGCCACAGCCACAGCAGAACCTATAAGATCCACGGGCACCCGCCACCAACAGCAGCATGGATCATTCCACGCAGGAATTATCCAGTGTTCCCGCTGCAACCGGGCGTGGCATACCGCCGCGACCTGCCGCAGCAGCCCAATTTGCCGGTACTGCGCCGGCCCACACGATTTCAAAGAGTGCCCCCTGGCAAAAGTGGACCCAGACTTCAGAAAACCCAATGCAAGTAGGAAGTGCTCCAACTGCTCAGGAGGGCACAGCGCCAGGTACCAGGGCTGTCCGTACCTGAAAGGGATCAAGAGAGTCGGGCCGACTACCACCACCAGGACCACTCACTACCAAGAGCCAAGACGAAGATTCCAGGCGCCTAGCTCGACAGTCACACCACCCACAATCAGCAAGGAGATCACGCTCCTGAGGGACGAAATCAAGACCCTCCAGGAAGAAAACGCAAAGATTAAAGCTCTAAGGATCCAGGATAGAGACGAAATGAACGATCTAAGAAGCATCCTACAGTCGTCCCTAGAAACCCAAAGACGACTGGAGAAAGAAAACACCGAGATGATGGCTTTCAAGACAGAATTGATGGCGATGCACACTGAACTCCAAACGATGAAGGTAGCAGACGCCGAATCCAAAGAAACCATACAACCCTACTAAATGATGTCGCCGATGCCAAGAAAGAATCGACAGAAACAAAAGCAGAGTTAGCCAAGGCAAAGGAAGAACTGACCAAACTGAGCGCCGCACTAAAAGCCACCAATAAAGTCATGGACGCCAGAGAAAGCGCAAGGAAAGAAGCGGAACGGAAAAGGCAATCAGTCCAAACCCACCAAAAAGCACAGAAAGCAAAACCAACCGCTGCAGAAATAGCAGAAGAGAAAGAATCCGAAGCATTGCTGGAGGAAGACAGAAAAGCAGAAGAAGCAGAGGAAGAAAAAGAAAAACTCCAGGAGGCAGAACTAACCAAACAGGCGGAAGCGATCAAAGCCAAAGAAGCGCTCAAGAAACTACCCGCCGGCAAACCGTTCACGATCAACTACAAACAGCCCGACGCGGGCAGCCCGCTCTTCACCATCTAGCCCACGCCCACCAGACCAGCCGCCATGACAGTTGAACCAGCCAACCAACCAGTCCGAAAATACCCCACAGGCATGATGTCAACCGCCGAACCCAATCCCTCCCACCCGTTCGAGGCCACCCCGGCACACTATGCTAGTCCTTCTCAGGACTAGCAGGGATCCACTCCCCAACAATGTTGCAGAAAACCAGCAGGCGTGAGTACACGTCACCATTCAAAATCAAGACCGCCCATAAAGGAAGACGCAAATAAAGCAAAGTCCCAGTGACACGCTGAAGCGTCAGATATTTTACTTTTTTTTTTTTATTTCTACCGAACGGAACCTGTGACTGCGTGGACTTATCAGAAGACACATAGTGATGATGAATAAGTTGCTACTGCCGCACGTAAGCAATCACGAATGTGGTGCTTTTGGAGAGAACTAAACCAGTTCTGGCCAATCAGGATGTGAGGACAAAGCGCTAGCAATGGTAAGGATCAGGATAGCTTTTTTCTCCCCCCTGGTATCCTGTCATATCCTTGTGGGATGCAATTTTTCGTTATTTGAAGCCCTTCTCTGGCTCTTGCCAGGGGCCGCAGTATAGCCCGACCATAAATATGGTCTAATGGCTGAACGCGGTTTCTGGGACCCCTCCACGGGTGATCCTCATCCACATGGTGGCACTTTGTGTCATCGGGTGATTATCGCTTGTGTGATGTCCTGATGAGGTATAAGAAGATAGATAGATTCTCCTGGTGGTACGCAACGGTAGGCAACACCAGCACTTGTTTTTAGGACACATTCTGATGAGTACCGGCATCTTTTTTTTCTTTCTAGAGAAAAGCCATGCATTAAGGACACATTAAACTGTGATCTAAGACAGAAAGACGGGCGATAGATGAACAAACGGACGGCCGAACAGACGGACAAACACACATACACACAGACATACAAAGACAGACACACACAGAGAAGCACCGACATACATGCATACAGACATATAGACAGAAAGGATGACGGACGCATGAGTGTACAACACGTAATTGTTGTTTTCTGTTCCATTAAATTGACATACCTGATGCAGCTACAGCACCCTCTCTCACAGGTACGACACCAAGTGTACAGTGACGAAGTCCCTCCATGTAGCTTACATTTGTGACACCACTTTTGACTGCATTCACAGGAATCGATACGATTATATTTACATAGATACGGGATGTGAGTGTTACGTCAAAGCGAAAACTGTTACAAACTAATCACATCTGACATTTCTGAGCGAGACACAGAAGCACAGCCATATGTGCTCTGTCTGAGGTGTAGTTGATTACATTTGTCGCAATAAATATACATTTGCCTTATATGCTCGGTGCTAGTGTTTCTCTTTGTGTGTTGTGTGTATTTGTGTGTGTGTGTTCGTTTTATGTTTGATATTGTTGTTAATGTTGTTTTTCTAGTACTGTTATCACAAATACCACATTTCTGCTGCTGCTGCTTCTGCGACTACTACTACCAATACCTCTGCTACTATTACTACCACCATTACTACAATTATCACTACTAATACTTATGCTACTAGCACCACTACCCATACAACCACCAATATTACTATTAGAACTATTGCTGCTACTTCCACCATACTAGCATACTGAGAAGTGGCTAGGTAGTATTTCAAGATTAATCCTGCAGGCTAACGAAGGATATATACGGGAAAGAAGAGTATAGGAGGGTGTAGGTTTTAAATGAATAGCGACTATTACTAACCCTACCACACTTATAATGCGGGAATTTCCCGAACATCTCCAGTTACGTGGTCGCTTAACCGAAAAGAACCGATAATTTTCATAACACGTTTACAAAATGGAAGTTTTAATTTTTTAAATTTTTT